AAATATACAATGGAGTGTACCCTGAATGTACCTCTACTCATTTGACATTCCATGAGTCACTCAATTGACTCTGAGTCCCCTGGCAGCTCGACGATAAAAATGTATAGAATGTGAAACTGGTAATACAAGATAAGATTGTACCAAATGGAGACAATCGTTAATGGTTTTGTGAATCACTTTAAAAAGTTAGCACTGTGATTAAAGGGGCAGACCTACAGACAGAATAAACATTGGTCAGATAAATGTTGGGCCCATGGAGATAAGTAAAAGTTTTATAAATCATAGAATATCCCCCACATGGGGCCAGGTAAATAACCTAGAGAATTTGAACTATTTAAAGAACCTTTATCACCATTTAGCTATTTATAGAATCCGTTAGCTCATCATTTATGTGTATAAATCTATAAATATAGTAAAATTATAATGTCGTATGTTGATAACAAGGTAAACAAAATTGAATCATGTTTAGTAAACATATAAGAGTATGAGTCTATTAAATAACGATTTCATGATCACATACAGTAGCACAGCTACAAACGTTTGGTTTGTTTGTTTGTTTGTTTTATGTTCTTTGTTTGGTTTTGATATGTTGTAATTTTAAATAAATGATCCACAATGTTCAAATATTCTATACTCGGAGACAAAAATTACATATGGACTATTTACACTTTTCGTATTCTTGGTGTTTTAAAAAATAACTTAGGAATTGTATATCTTGTCGATATTAACAGTGATAGTGAAGACCCGACGTGTATTTTGATATAGTAGTGATAAGTGGAATATATATTTTTGATATATTTTGTTTCTAAAAAGATATCACACAGATTATTCGTTGTAATTGCGAATGGTATATGTGCTGCCATCTAAGTTGCAGTGAAGCAACTTTTCCCATTGATAAACAAAGGAATGACGATCAAAAGTACGCAGGATTTTATAAATTCTAACTTGTTTGTGTAGAATGTTTTTGGGAAAACAGACGCACAGCTATGTTACTAACTATTTTTGAAGGATTACGATTATTACATTTTTTATTAAGATGACCAGATAAAAACTTATTAGAAAAAATATTAGAAAGAGCCAATCGCTTATAAAGTTTTGGACAGAGTTATTGCTAAAAAATCATGGTGATACTTAGTACATACATGAACCCAATCACTTTATAAACAAGGAATTCGGATGAGAAAATAATTCATACTTGGTGAAAACAACATTAAAATTGAACGATGAAATATACATTTGTGTACGTATAGTACATATTTTTGCGAAACGCAAAATCTCAATTCTCTCCGCATAAACATATTGTGCTTTCACTTATTAGCGAAATCTCTTATTTTTCATCAAATCCGCAATGCATGTCTCTCTAGATTTACAAATTAGTTTTCAAAGGTTTACAAAGTATATCTAAAACCATTACTTTTTAATCTAGGTTTATTATTTTTCAGGAAATTATACTGATCGGGAATTATTTTATTTATTTTCTACAGCTAGTTTTGATAATTGTGTTTATTCATCGAGGTCACACAACAAAATCACCCTATCCGAAACAATTATCTTTGTAAATTTATGTATATCAAATGACCTTATAATATATACGAAAACATCTTTGTTCAATACGCGCATATAAAAATTGATCAAGTTATACTGTAGTTAGGTTGGTAATAATGTATTCCAATTTATTCAAAGAGATTGTACACGAACGATGCCACCAGTCATTGCCGAGTCTAAATGATCATAAAAAGAAATTTGTGAGTATTATTTCAAATTCTAATTTAACATGTTATGCGGTGTTTTTAATGAAGAGCTAATTGTTATTTCAGTTCAAACTAACGTATCAATGTAGAGTTGTGGAATACTCGCACTTGAAGAGTTTCTACATTCAAGTTGATATGATATGATATGAAATAACGAAATTGCAATTGTTTTGTGTACTAATTGTTTTGCTAAATAGGGTCTTGATTGATTTGTATTTTTCTCATGGGAAAGCGTGTTTTCTGTTGACTAACGTATCACTCTTTAATGGGGATGCGTTTCTAATACTCTGCACTTAGCTGCACTTGGTTTAACTAATTTAGTAACTCACGTAGTCTTGTTCCAAGACTGTGGACTCCCCCTTCACCAACACAACACTTGTGTAGTTGGGGGGGGGGATCACAAGGGCTCGTAGCTAGACTATAAACTATAACTCACGCAAATATATTATCCCTACCAAAAAATAATATCGAATGAGTTTGGTCATCGGCCGGGTTGAATTATACGATTTACTCGGAAAATTTACATGTTACCCACATTGGGTAACTTGACCTGCCATCTTTTCTAGAGCCTAGTCACAGTATTTCTTTTTTCACCCTAGCATGTGTTAAAAAATTTAATCGAGACAACTATCGCTAATCACGAAGTACTTATCAAAAGATCTCGATATTGATCTTTCTAAAATAACTAACCTACTTTAAAAACAAATAAATTACGAGATTTCCTCTTCTCAAATGTTGATAACCATGCGATTTTTAATTGGTTTCAAGTTTCTTAAGATTATCAAGAGCAACCAGAGAATAAGATTACACTTGGTAATTACGTGTTTAACATGTGTGTTTACCTCAAGAGTAGTGCACATGAAGTGAAAAAATACAACTTCGTTGCATGATAATTGAAACAATGATTTATTAAATCTACTACAAATTTGCTAGACAATCAACATACCACAAGTAATACTTTTTAACAATTTAACATATTATTTGTTTTAGTAAACGATTTTGTACACAGAAAAAGCAGAAATATATTTTTGATAGATTAGGTTATTCAATTATTTTCTTTTAATTTAACGTTCCTGACATGTTTTGGAATCCGGGGTGGCAAATGTCAGTCCAACGTTATCTTGACGTAATTTATGCTCGAAGGAAGCGCTTAAAAGGTGCGATTTAGGTGCATTAACAGAGACATTTACAAAGACATTTACCCAAAATAAGACATTTGCCTACCTAAATGAGGCTTTGTATTGAAAGAAAGATTTAAATCAAAAAGTATACCGAAATGCTTTTAGAAGTTACCTGACAAATTGTCGTTATGAATAGTGGCGTGTCTCAGGGATCCATTATAGGACCCCGGTTATTTCTTCTTTATATTAATGACGGTCTTAATTCCATGTTTTTTGGCTTAATGTTGTGACAATCGCACCTTTATTTTCATGTAGTCGTATTTTGACATCATTGGTATTTAGTCTCACCTCCGAAAGACCTAAGATTGCCGGCATACGGGTAGATGGCGTTCCGGTTTGTTTCGACTTATTTTTAATATAATGTCAGTTTGTATGAAGTCACGTAAAATCAAAAGCGTAAACTATATTTCATTTTCAATCTAAAGGGGAATAATTTAAAAGGTGATAAAGAAATAGTTTGTAACAAAGTTTCTTCATTTTTTCACACACAATAAAAGCAATTATCTCCCTAATGGTATTTCTGGATTTGACGATTCTCTTCGGCGTTGTATATAAAATTACGATTTATTTTGTTCTACTAGATAGTATTTTGATGTCATAATGTCACCTAAAATCAGATCGATATGCAGTCCAAATTCGAAATACCGGTTGCTTAAAATATTTCATTATTGATGAACAATGATATATCTAAAAAAGATTGGCTCTTATCTTGGACACAAAGAATATTGGGTGCACACTTATAAATAAATCGCAAATCAAATTGTTTTCAACTTCACTTAGAATAATCATTAAGACGTTAATCGTAGCCTATTCTCTTTTTAGTAACACACGAGTATATTTAAGTTTGTAATTAGCAAAATATATACTCTACTAAGCATGGGAGGAATTTGTAAACTCAAATCCATCGGACAAAATGACGGATGGGGATAAAGCGTATGTTGCAGTAATAACCTTCTCCGGGGACCCACCTTTCGTGGAATATACGAGGGGAATGGAAAAACAGGTAAAATTCAATGTGCCCATTTTGGTAGCTCATTTTGCATCGGAGATTATTGCAGCGTACGCGGTTTGCTGCATTCATTCTGTAGGGGTGTTGGATTTATACCAGGCAATGTGATTGATAATTCTATAGCCTGCGTAAGCCTACACAGGGTGTTCGCTAGGTTATGACATGATACTGTAAATACATATAACTGCTAATTAACTAGAGTATCCCATCCGTGTCATGACTGCCTCATCAAGAACAGGACCATTCAAGAACATTATCGAATTGTAGAAAATGTTATGTTTTTCGGCGTACAGATTCTGTCATCAGATTGCTATTGTTTAATGAAAACACAAAATGGAATCATGTTTGATGTGAAAAAGTCAGTCCACACCAGTGGGGATCGAACTCACGACCTCTCGCTTTCCGAGCCGTGAACATTATTTCAATGTCTATGCCCTGTGCTCTTTGAAACGTACAACCAGTAATGCTACACTTCTAGCAAGTTAGCATCAAATCTGACAAAATCTTGTGCGCATTCCATAATGAACAGTGAACACCCAGTATATCAAGATGGGAAATTATCACATATGCAGATTGCTTTCCTGCATATGGTTTTTCTCAACCAAATAATCGTTCATTTGTGCGATTCACGTTGTTCATTATTTTAAGATATGTTATCCCTATAAAAAGAAATACAGGATGCATGTTGATAAACTAAACTTATCGTACAAAGGAATTTACAACTACTTAGGTCTGGTTCATTTGTACATTCTTCCCTTTTCTGAAATACGAACATTTCATTCGATTTAATATCATTTTGCCATTCTAAGTAATAATGTAGCTGCAAAGTATCATTTAAATTTACATGACATCATATATGACATGATGTCAGGATAATGTCCTGGAGAAAATAAAAACACGATATGAGTTGAAAGGACATCGTAAGGCATTGTCCTCGTTGGCTGAAATTAATGTCACGTGCTATCAATTTATTCTTTAAATAACAAAATCAATTGTCAATATTGATAAATGATTACGTTAAAATCAATATAATTGTCATTTAGAATTATAAATCCTTCAAGTGTCTCCTAGACGGTTGCGCTATTTCTAGTTCGACTTAAATAATGTGAATATCGTTGCACTGTCTGTATGGTGATTCAAATAGACGCAGGGGAGCGTTGAACACCTGAAGTTCAACATGGCCACAGACTCGGATAACGTTTTTAAAGGGCCTGTTCCTGGAATTAAATCAAAGGTAAACCCATTTTCAATTTAGATTAATCAAACAAAATCTATATTTGTTAAGAATAAATTCAATGATTCTATCTTAATTAAATCGATAATAAAAAATAAATCGATGATACTTGTAGGTATTTTACTTTATTCCACAGTTACTTTGATATTCATAGGATATCATGTCAAAATAGAAACCGTATTCTATGGTTTTTGATTTTTTTCTACTCAACAAAAAACGAGACTGACATTCATTTTACGGGATATTATTCATGCTGATTATTTTTTGTGTTTAATTAGAGATTCAGAACATGTACAGAACGCTTTATTAAAAAGGAATAAAAAGAACATCCTACGATCATGTTTCTGATTTTCATCCACTCTTGAATATTGATGTCTCATTGCTTCCCTCGCTCGTGCATGTTATTATCTCCATTCGTCATCCGTGGATAAAAATCATATCACTCATAAATCAGATTATATCCTCATTCTGGTACTCATAACGCCTCTCTCTCTATTGCATCGCAGAAGGACAGAGATGGATAGAACGTGGCTTACAATGGGATAAATTCTATTTATTTTTCGTATGGGTTTTATTTGGTGCATATGGGTTGTAGGTGTCAGTGTTGCTTTTGTCTTTCAAATATTGCCATTTATGCTTTTCCTTCGTACTGACTTAACTTTACAAGCAGTCTCTGTTACATTGTAATAAGGCTACTTTTGTGATTACATATAGGCACATCTTTGGTTCGACTCCGTATATAACTCCGAGGTACCAACTTTGAGTTACTAACTTTTTAAATGTTTCATATCACTGAGAACCGACTCGGATGACTAAAGGCGAAAAAGATCAACTTCGAGAGATTGCTTTGACGAGTGATCTACGAATATTTCCTTTTCAAGTTGCAAAAGCAGACTCAGTACATCGGGTCAGACTCTTTTTTAACACACATAAAACTGAAAAGTGATGACACAATACTATTAGCAACATGTACATGTACATATCTTCGTAACGTAATGACTCAATCAATTTGTATCAATAATTGTGACAAATCAAAAATTCTTAAATTATCCCTTTCTCATGAGTAGCGTTCTACTTATAGCGTTTCACCACTACAGAAGTATTTCAATCCAATTATAGTAAACAACTACCTTAAAAAAATAGATAACAAAAAAGGTTTTAATTCTTAACGATAGCATGTACTTGAACATGTCCAAAATACTTATGGTATGATTTGATCGAAATACATTTGTATTATGTTCTCTAACATGTTATAGATGGGAAGACAAGAACTGGGAATTGTCAAAATTGATTTATTTTGTTTTTCAAAACAGGGAAGTTCATGCATTTTATTGTTCATCATACTTTTTATTGTAGAGTTTACATTCGATGTAGAAGTGAAAAGCATGACACATACAATATATACATTTAAAGATAACCGTTTCCAATACAAATACAAAGAACATACTTTATGACAATCATGTCATTCAATGATTATTAAGTGGCTATTATTTAATATTTTGTAATTGAATTGTAAGACTGACCACTATAAATAAATAAAGAAACTAAACTAAACTAAACTAATGAAACCCCGTGACCAGAAGGGAACCCTCTAGTACACTCCCTCCACGTAGTTCAATGGGATGGGGCTAATGTTGCCAATCTTATGGAGGGGAGTGTACTTCCATATATCTAATTCATTCGGAAGTGACCCTGACGACGACTAGATCAGGTTAAGATGGAACATTAAAGTATCTGTTTATGAAATATAACAATGAAATATGTCAATCAAAAGGGTATCTCTTCAAGGGCAAAGGTTTCTTAATCAAATGAATCAAAACTAAATTTACATATATTTTATAACAAAAGCTTACTATATGTACTAAACGTACTATAAAATTCATATTAATATTATTCTATATATTATATCATAAATATTATATTAAATTATCTCATATTTTATTAAATTATGTTTTTCAGTTTGACAAACTTACAATATATAATGTTAATTAAGATAGATGTCACTGCCATCGTGTTGATGTTCATTGCACATTGTTTTTGACTTTATCATCTGACTCTAAATAGGCTTTTTGATAATTAAACTTAGCAGCAGAAATCGATTTAGAAAATGGTGTATTTGAACCCTGGTATGTGAGATTTGTTAACGACGAATGACCCATGAGACAAAAACCCATGGTCTAAACAACATTATCAAGTTAATGGTCAGTATCCCAATGTCGAAGAATGACTTAAAGTGGTTATAAAAACAATTTAACAAAGAGACCTGATAAGAAAAGATAACCTTGTGTAGTCATTTCAATTGAATAGAGAATATTTAGGTTTGAGAACAAATAAGGGTTAATCTATTTAACAATATCGTGTGTATTAGAAGTTGTAAATGGTACGATTTTGTTAATGACGCGATTTTGGTATGGATATTACATAATTTGAGCAAATGTTGGATGGCATTTTGACATATTGGTGTGCGGGAATTAGATAATCATGCGACTCTTGCCAAACATGCCGCAATCAATATTAGGAAACACTAGATACAAACCAAAAATATTCACAGAAAAAAGAGTAAGTAAAATACATGGGTAATTATACACAAAAATAAAGAAAATACAGTAATAACTACAAAATAAAAAGTTAGTTCAATATGAGAGCAGTTAACATTTGAACTTGGTATTTTATTTTACAGACTCGAATTTGAACAAAGTATCTAGACATAGAACCAGTGCTTTCAGATAGTTCAATGTAATTCAAGACATAACGATAGTTTAAAAAATGTGCAAACTGTTTAAACTGGAGTAAAATAATTTTATTAGTATCAGTATTTCGTTTAGTATTTTTGATTATTTTCGGTTCTTCTTTCAGTTCTCCACCGAGGAGTCCCTTGACGCTAATAAGAATCCATTCCAAACTACACTTTCTCCAGCGGTAAGTAAAACAAGTTGTATTAAAAGGGATGAGGAATAGCAGTATTTTGTTTGTGTCTCGAACGCCGTCGACAGACAAGCCCTATAATGTAAAAGCAATTTGTTAACAATTTGTTCAATTGATTATTCATTATATGTAAAATAAACTTTTGTATCGCACTTTAATGTGCTTTGAATAGATAAAGCAGGTTTATAAAAAGTTGTGTAATCAGAAAGGTGAGAATGCACTGCTTTACGTCACTGCGCGGATATGTACCCGTCACGAGAATACCCATTTTCATAATTACGATGATGCACACTGAGGAGGGTATACATTAAAGGCTGGACAGTTAATCCTATAGTTAATCCTAAAGGAGCTTCGCCCATCAGGCAGATACATTTTACTTGCAAATGAACTGAGATAAAATATCTTTGACCCCATGTAGGATAATTTCTATATAATAATAGCCCTTAGATCGTTCACAAATATACTAAGATCATTCCTGCATGTTCTTTGTAAAGGAGGTGTGCGTGTAATATTATCTCTAAACTTTTGAAACCTCTTGCCCTTCTGTTGTCGATAACATGACCCCGCACACTTCTGTTGTAAAAGTAATTTATAAACAAATAGCTAGATAGACAGGATCATGTACAAATAGTAAATGAAGGATACAAATAGTCTTGAAATATTTTACAGCGATCTTACCCCGGCCCACAGGGGCACGAAGATGGAGAGAAGCACAAATCCCATCCCCTGAGGAGGCTGTCATCTAAATTTGAGGTAGGTAAAATATTAAAGCAGCTTTCATAATGTAAAGAAAGTAAACAAAACAAAAGTAAAGAAGTAAACAAACGATAATGAATGAATAATCAAATCTTATAACAAATGTAAATGCAATTGTCAGAGCCAATCACTTGCTGAAAATGATATTCAACAAATTATAAATCAAAAAATATATTTCTATAGTGAATGATCTTTTGGAGATTTTGACCACCAGCAAACAGTTTCTAAACACCTAGATACCTAAATACTCATTAATGTCGATGTTATCATATATGAGGTCCAAATATTCTCATGTTATTTACCAGATAAGTGTAAGGTAGTGGTAGTGTATTATATTCAAGTTTAAAAATCTAGGCATAAGTGGACATATTACAATTTACTAGATACCACAACTTGGTTCACATTCAGAAAAGACTTGATAGTGAACTTATCTTATTTATCTTTTTCATATCAGATTTTTCGAATGCTGCCATGAATAAAATGTTAAAACGTGGGAAACATTCTACAACGCTATTTGTAATATGAACCATATTTACAAAATTCTCTTGATAATGTTTTTTATATCTTTCTAAGGCTCATATTTAGTTAAATTATATATGTTGTCATATTAGATATTCCTATTGATATTTGTAGAGTTTCGACTTTGAAGTTGCAGAAAACACTCACTTTTTAAAGCACAATGAAGGTGTGGCTGAAAAAGAACAGGCAAAGGTTTGTATATCAAAATATCTATTTTGAGATATTTGTCTCATACATTTTACATTAGTTATCATTATTTCTGATAAATTAAACGAGTATACTTTGATGATGTTGTTTGCATGGTTGTTTTCGAGAACATTGGGTAATGCTAGTTGTTCGTCATGAACAACAACGAAACCATAATTGGGTCAACTATTTTCTTAGTAGCCCAACAATTTTTATAAGATACTAGTTTTTTAAATGAAATCATGAGTGAATGTACAATTTTGCAGCATCTCAAAAGAGAGTCTATGGCTAGATACCTGGTCAGCATCCTGACGGGCATAGGGACAGCAATCATCGCTCTTGCTATCAAATTCAGCATCCATTATCTTGCTGATATCAAATTTGGACTCATCGGGGACTGTATCCTTTATAAATCTAATACCTTCACAAAGAATGTCTTTCGCTATGCCATAAATTGCACAAATCATGTGCCATACGGTCTTGAATAAGAAGAGTAATTAACAGTAAAAATACATAGAAATATACTAAGAAATGTGATATAGCTCTAAGTAAGCTGTAATCTATAACAAGCCTCTTTAGGCTTCTTGTCCCACTATATTAACATTTCCCTACCCTAAGTGTTCACGGTCTGTGTATTAATCTTGGAATGGGGATACACAATGATTTGTTACAAGACTAGAGCTACCTGTATACGAGTATTGTAAACATATATATACCCTTAACATATACAAGTGATGACAAAATGCAGCCACACTGGGTGTACATATTTACCTCTCTTGGCGTTTGTCGGAGTGAATTTAATCTTAACATTCATTGGATCATGGATGGTTACATACATTGAGGTGAATGCCACGTCCAATAATTAACATCAATCACAAGTTGCAATTGCTCTAGATTATTTTAAAGATGTTGACACACTAGAAACAGTTACGTTTACAGGAATTGCATATCAGTAATATCCACTGTGTAGTTATCTGAACAAATACCAAGTCCCAATGCCCAAAACAGTGGTTTGTACAAATGGAAATATAAAGAAAGACAATTTGATTCACCATACTGTATTATATTTATTAAAGCTAAATATCCATTTTTAAATTCTAATTATCAGCCAGCTGCAATGGGAAGTGGTATTCCCCAGATAAAATGCTACCTAAATGGTGTCAGGATACCAGGCTTGGTGTCTCTAAAGGCACTCATCGTCAAGGCAACAGGTGTCATCCTATCTGTATTGGGTGGACTTGCATGTGGAAAGGTACGTTTACTTTGTAATTGGTTATGAATAATTATAAAAAGTATGGAAGATTAGCAGCCAAAATAGATTTTTGATTCAGGTCAATATTTCGTTGATAACGTTCTATTACATGTGATATTTATATTTTGCATCTATTAGGAAGGTCCGATGATCCACTCTGGTGCTGCTGTAGCTGCCGGAATAAGCCAAGGAAGATCTCTAGTGTTAAAGCGAGATTTTAAGGTATTGCTATATTAATCAATGAACTAATAAACTATATTAGCCTCATTTTATTTTTTACGTATCTTTTTATTATTTATTTAATATACAATTACTAACAAGCAGTGCATTTTCATATCATATTTCTAGGTTTGCATAGTTGCCGTATCTGAATTTGCTGCTTACACAATTTTTGGCTATCATAACCAAATTGTTTACATCATCGATCATTTTCCATCACCACAAAACATACATATACGTCTATTTGTAATAGTGATATTTGTTATTTCTTCATTTCCAATAGATATTTCGTTACTTCCGCTCTGATACGGAAAAACGAGATTTCGTGGCTGCAGGAGCCGCTGCTGGGGTGTCTGCTGCCTTCGGAGCACCCATTGGTAAGATACAATTCCTGCATTGCTTGAGATAGATATAGCTGATCTTGCTTTGCCAGTAACTTTTTAAGTATTTAACTTAATAAGTATTCAAAGGGACCTTAATTTTGTGTATTTAATACACAAAATAAAGGTCCCTTTGAAATCTTTATCTTAGCGTAATTATGTAACGTTTGATGTAAATGCTTGGAAACTATCAATGCTGTATCAGTCCCTAGTACATGTTACTCAATGATTCTAAATATTTTACAAATACCTACAATGTTATCCAGACCTTAAGGCAAAATGTTTTGTTCCAGGTGGAGTGCTCTTCAGTTTGGAGGAAGGTGCTAGCTTCTTGTATCAAACATTGACTTGGCGAATGGTAAGTTTATAATTTTGCGCCATGAGGATAAGAAATTACTCAACCAATATTTTGGATTTTTGTTAAATAAGACATTACAACTATTTTACTGAAATGGGTATGATTTCAATACATACTCGTATGTTATTATATGTATTGCATAATTTATTTGTTCATTTTATATTTTTTCTTAAATTAGTTCGTACATTTTATATTGTGTGAAATAAATCTTGAATATTCTATGTTATAGGTTGCGGCCTCTGTGACAGCTACATTGACAATCAATATAGTCGTATCATTAGTGCATGGACATCCCGAAAATCTCTCAGAACCTGGCTTGATCAGTTTTGGTCAATTCTCTGTGAGTTTAGTGCACTTTTTAATATCATTTTTAGATTTTTTTACATTCTTAAATATAGGTATAAATATGCATATTTTGAATAAAGATATTGTTTGTAACAACTTAAATCGTTGTTTAAGGTTATTGCTTTTGTGTTTTTGCTAATGTTGCCATTTGTTCTTTTTCATTTAACAGGATATTTACTACCTAAGTGTTGAGCTGCCTCTATTCTTGATGCAAGGACTTATAGGTTAGTCGAGGTTTAACTTAAAGTGTGCGCCTGACCCGGCTACGTATAGCACAGAGTTTATACTGGCGGATTAGACTAGTTCATTTTTTATATGTGTGTGAAAGCTTTCTCTTATTTGCGTTTTTTCGTTTAGTACGGTTCTGTTATAATTGCCGAGGTCATATAACCGGGATAAAACAATGATTATCGTTGACTGCCCACACACAAAACATACGTTGAGTGAACAGTGTTATTACAAACAACAGGCTTTAGAATACAAAGCGTAGTGTGACAATAAGCTGTACACTACCACTGCTGCATGTACATAGTACTAATTTACTAGGGCTCCCAAAGAGTGGATAGGGAGGTTGTGTTTGTCACTTTTAAATTTTACATTTCAAAATTGTCATTTTACATGTCATAATTTGTTGGTTTCATTCGTTTAGCAAATCAAAACATTGTAAAACAATAAATTGTCTGGTTACGTACAATCAATTTTGTTCAGTTTTGATTAGTTGTCAGAATAAAGTTACGTTCATCTGAATCCATGTATCAAAACAAAAATCCTATTTTCACTTCAAAATACTTCAGTGAGATGAAGGCTCGGAATTGTCACATGCAATAACTTATTGTCGTATTCGTTATTTAATCTTCTCGATAGTAGCATTTAGTCGCACATTTGATGGCAGGTCACCTTGTCGCGTACCTCTTGGGGAACCCCACATTTATGTGTGTACTAATGGAAGTAAATTCCCCGGTGTAGCCGAGAGCCACAAACTTTTCAACAGGTTCGAAATGACCAATTTCTCTCATATATACTCTAAATATTTTATTATTTAGCACCTACAAAGTATTGCTAATAACCATATGTAATTTCAATAAGGAAACTTATCTGGCTACATATAAATTCAATATCAACACTAGCTGTTCTCTCAACACGTCCTGGCTTACCTTGTGGTGACAAACCCTGGATTTTCGCTATTTATAGTTTATCAACACCTGGACGCATGCGCATTTTATAGTTTATCGGGCACTTTAACACAAATTTACAACCCAATATTTGAAAAACTGTTTGATAACAATCAACCAGAAGAATTTTATTGTTACGATGCAATTAAATATTTATCATTCTTATCCTGTTCAACGGGATATACGCTGGTTAGTCATATCAATTTAGGCACTCATGTTTGTGTTTTCAAGGTGGGATTTTCGGTGCCGTTTACGTACATCTAAACTACAAACTGACTGTATTTAGAAGAGCGTGAGTGTTTAAGATCAATTATTTTAGATTTCGCAACTCACTTATAGCATGTTTATTATTCCCGTATAACGTATAACTAACGTATAACGGGAAATATCTAACATAAGATGAAGAATTTCGGAATAAGAGAAAATCATAAATAAGCACTATCCTTCTCCCAAATTTAGAATATTTATTTCTCGTATCATATTGACATATTTATTTTACAAAATACATACTTTATTTGAGGAAAACTAAAGATCTACCGTTGATTGCAATTTTGTCACCCATAGAACTGACTTTTACCCTAATAGCATGAATATTATATATTTTAGGTATATCACTGAAAAATGGATGAAACTACTAGAAGCTTGTATAGTGGCTGTAATTAGTGCTTTGATGCATTTTATGTTTGTTTGGGCCTCAAATGATTGTACAGATATTACTCCACATGGCGCCCATGTTATGACTGTACAGGTAATCGCAGTGATGATTGTTTTAATGAAACGACACTAAAATTTGACCAGTACAAAACACGTATTGTTATCTCATTTTGGCAAGCGAATATGTAGCATACTTAGGCAAGAATAAGTAATGAGGACGTGTTTAATATTTGATACTATTCCATGTAATTGATTGCAAATAAACCAGTTAAAATTACTGTATTTTAGTTAATATTGTGTCAAACCTATCGTGTTCTTCATGATTTCAGGGATTTTGTCCAGATGGGAAACACAGTTCAATGGCTACAATCTTTATGAAGGCACCAGAGGGAAGCCTTATAGGAATGTTACATAATGATATAAGTACGCACAAATGCTTGCATGATACGTCGCAGTATTGTTATATGTTCAATAGTATTGAATTTTATTGATTTTTGTCTTGTTCATTATTATTTTGCATGATACTTACTAAACTTTCGTTAACATGGTTAGCTTTTGCATGTTTGTACAAAACATTAACAACTGTTTTCATGTGTAGATTCATTTAGTTTTTAGTTTTTATCATTACTGCTTTGACTTTAGAATACTACGAACCACTTGGTCTCTTGATTGCCATGGTTTTCTACTTCCTTTTGGCCACGTGGACGTACGGCATCAGTGTTTCTAGTGGTCTCTTCATCCCATCTCTCCTTATTGGAGCAATGTGGGGACGTCTTTATGGCATCGGGGTTTCCTACTTTGTTCCTTCTGCTGTAGGTTTTTTACCATAATATTCAAAACTGAGACATCTATAAAATACCCTAATGTTATAGCCTTGTTGCATCCATCGTACTTCTGTACTAGGCATAGATTTGCATGTTCTCATAGCATGTTTTTGTTGTTTTTGTTTTACCGTGCATCAGCCTCAGTTGTATTGGCGTTCGTTGTCATATGTTTATAGTCTTCGCGTTATGTAATTCATTATCATCATTGTTACATCATTGTTGTATATAGTGCACCACATGAGGGAAATATAGGTTAAAATTGCTCTTTGATTTTGATTAAAAGGGACTTGTGTGGGGTATTTTTTCTACACCTTTTCTGCTCCTCTTTAACGCTTCACTGCATGTATATTATTCATTGTTGTAGGCTGCACATATAGGCATTATTCATTGTTGTAGGCTGCACATATAGGCAAATATGCTTTGATTGGTGCTGCATGTAACTTATCAGGGGCTGTTAGAATGACGATCAGTCTTACTGTGATTGTAATAGAATGTACAGGTGATATCACATTTGGAATGCCCATGCTCTTGTGTATGATGCTGTCAAAGTATTCTGCAGATTTCTTTAACAAGGTAACACATCAACTCTTATTCCAAAACCAGATACATAATGACAGCAATGTCAATTTGCTGTTCAAATGACAAACCTATAATATGTTTATATATTCAAGTTGTAAAATTATACTTGCTTATAATAATGGATACCAGGAATATAGGAAATACTTAGGAAATTATAACGTTTATATAACTTTATGTTAGGGTATCTACGACACCCACATTGAGCTGATGGGTGTACCACTGTTGGAGTGGGAACCACCAGAGTTGTGTGCCACAGTCAAAGCAAGGTATGTTCTGTGGCAATTACGCTATTTTCTCGGGATATATAGATATCTCATGCGTGTTTCATCTTCACAACGTTGTAGTATATAGAGAGAAATGGAGTGTGGAGCAATCAATTGGCGATTCATTACTGTTTCATCTTTGCCTTTAGGTGGCTATAGTGTGCTGCCATTGCAGTCAAATTTAATATAGACATGTTAATATAACATTACCCTTCCAGAGAGGTGATGAATGCCCCTGTTGTAGTTCTTAAACCCCTTGAGACAGTTGGAAGAATCCTTGATGTCCTGAAAGAAGAACCTCATATGGGTTTCCCAGTAGTTGCCAGTTATGATCCTGAAAATGTAAGTACAGAAGATAACTGAAGTGAGGTGCAGTTTGACGATGTAAAGGAAACTCGGCAATGGTGCATGTAACGTAACAAGGATTTGCTGAATAAGCAATTTGACAGAAGTACTTCGTAACCAAGGATGTTGTCCTGTGTAACACCTCAAAAATCCTTCTATTTTTGTCCAAATATTTAGTATTGAAGCAATTAAATCTACAGTGTAGAACTCTTACCAATGACCATAAGCAGATAGACACTTGTCCATTTTAAGTTTTAAGGCTCTTATTAAAACACCTTGCAAATAAACACTGATAATGCATGAAGGTTATTAAATCTACCAAACCTCTAGAATTATGAACTTACCTTTTTCAGGCTAGGCAAGGCAATACATTTGGTAGATTGCAAGGACTGATGACACGTTCACAGTTGATCTTACTGCTGCATGAGAGAGTAAGTACAAAGTACTATCCTAAGTCTGTATTCTCACGGTATTAACCACTATATAACATATGAATATATTAGAATACCATTAATAATGAAATAATGTTCTTGTGTATGTCTTAGGTATTTGATTGAAGGTTTTTAATTATCTGTAGGTTTACAAAGACAACAAGAGAGATTTAGACATTTCCTTTGAAGATATCGAAGCTAAACTTAGAAATGTGAAGGTGAGTCATGAAAAGATGGCATACTTATCGCTGTTTGTTCAAAGAGTAAAGTATACTTATCTTTCTAACCCTACTATCACACCAAACTAGTTTTCACTACGTTCTCGAAAACGGGCTTCCACTGTGTACGAACGGACTGGACGTACTTAGAACCGTTTGGGGTCGATTTACAAACTATATCGAACGTACTCGAACGGGTAGGTCCTCTAGAACTTAGAACATGCTCAAAATGTTCTCGTGGTCGATACGTTCTACAATTAAAACGAGTGACAACGTACTAACGACGAGCTGGACGTACTACGGACGGAACCGTCGTACTTCAATCCTACTAGGGACGTTTTAACAACGAGTTGAACTGTCTGAGGACGTATTGAGAACGAGGTAGAACTAATTGCAAACGGGTTTAAACTGATTAAGAACGTAGTTTAGACTGCTTATGAACGAGTGAGCAAAAATATAGCTATCACACCAAACAAGTTGCCACTGCGTTCTTCAAAACTGGTTTTAAACTGTGTGCGAACGGAATGAACGTAGCTGCAACCTTCTAAGGTCTATTTACGAACTTCATGAACGTTCTCAGACGGGAAGGTGATTTTAGAATTTTGAATCGATTCAAAATTCGATGGCGACCATACCGTTCTGTAATCAAGTCATAATGACTTTCTAGACTAAAGGACGCGTTATACGACGTTGCACACCGACCTGGTGCGACCTGGACGAACTGCGAATGAGATGGACGTATTGAAGACTGTTTATGAACGAAGTAGCTAATTATTTTAGACATATTTCCCGACCACAGCCAGATTGAGCCCGTTTTACGACATTTTCGTAGGACTGGCAAGAACGGGTAAGAACTAGTTTGGTGTGATAGGGGGGTAAACTTGTGTACAATGCTTACTTGTACATTTTTGTATATGACTTCGTTCAAATACTGGATCAGATCTAAACCAGATTTGAACAACAGTGTTTCGGCTCATATCTCCTTTGTCATGACTATTTTCTAAAGCATCCCCAAAATGTATACTTCATTTCAGGAAAACAAAAGATAGCTATAGAATTTTCTTTGAAATTTGATTATCTTGGAGAATTTAATTTTTGCACTTTAAATCTTAAATAACTTGAGCTAAGGATATATATTGCTAGGTCAATAGTTCATGTTACTTGTGATAATGTCATCCCCTTATTAATTAAGACCTGATTTTTCCTTTATATTTGATCATTAATTACATGTTGTGTTTTTTGTCTAGGGCATAGATATACCAGATAATGATAGGGAGCTGATGATAGATCTGAGATCATATATGAACCCAACGCCATTTTCTGTATCGACGGTAAGATATATCAACATGTATAAACATCGTGTACCAATATGGTATAATAGTAACAAATAAGATAAGATAAAAAAAGATGATATCAAATCCTAACTTGCCCTAACGAGTTCAGACATGTCTAGCTTTGCCTGAATAATGTTCATTTTTGTTAACAAATTAATTGCCGATTCATTAACAGTGTTCTGTTTTGTGTAACTGTTTTAGTGTAATGTATGTGTTCTGATATTCTTTTCAGAATGTATCACTACCTCGTATGTTCAAATTGTTCAGAGGTCTGGGCTTACGTCATCTTATCGTCGTCAATGACAAAAACGAGGTATGTAACAGTAATTCGCATTGATAAACTGGTAAAAGATGGGTAAGATTACGAAAACGTCAAACAATCTATTAACACCAATGCAAAAGTTTTAACATTATCATGTTAAGAAACCCATGAGACACCAAGAAGCAATAAATGAATTGTTTAAAATCAATGCAAATGTTGTTACTTAGAAAAACGCTGTCAATCAGAAACAATATTTTAATTTCAGGTTGAAGGCATTGTGACAAGAAAAGATTTAGCTAAATATAGAGCACATGGAGAATTAGGGAAAATAAAATTGCATCATCTGGAGGTAGTACAGTAATGATCTATATGAATAAAGTGTACTACAATGAGTGAATATTTATAAAGTAGATGAATACTTTATTGTTTGTTATGGTGGCATGAACCTTATTGCCGAATGACAGAGAGTGATGTGTCGACAGAGTCAATCGTATTATGTCTTATGCTTCACAATGGTTTGACTGTACTAAGCTTGGATCAGGTTATTGTGGGCAATAAACGTGTTTTATTTGTTTTTATGCTTCACGTTGACTTGTCTAAGAAGCTTAGAATGAAGTGGGAACAACCTATACTAGACAATAACACATTTATTTGTTTTTTATGTTTCACGTTGGATTGTCAACAAGGCCGAGAATGAGGTGACATAAACAAAGATTGGAGACATTATTTAGATGAACAAATTAAAAAAAATTAGTTTTTTTCAATATTTTCAATCGAACCTGACTTTTGCATATGCAATGCATGACATGTATATATAACATTCAACTTGTGTTACTCTTTGTGTATATATATAAATAGTGTACAAAGACCCCAAGACAAATTGTACATATATTAGTTCGTAATTATATAGTTGTATTTAGATAGATAAATTATCACGAATTATAAGTGACACAATAAACTGGGACAAACTGTTTTTGGAGAATAAAAAAAAATTGATTGGATTGTGTTTTAATTCTGAAAGTACGAGCAAGAATGATGATGAATATATTTTGGGTGTAGGGTGTCCCTCAAGATGGCACATATTCTAAGAAGGGACCATTGATGAATTATTAAATGCAACAAATCGCTTTTTCATGATAGGTTCTACATTTCAATAATCTGTCGGATAATTCATGAATTCAGTGGAATATTTACATTAATACAACTAAAAAGGACATAACTCCATATTTTCGTGATTTGAGCAGATATCTGACCTTCTCATTTTCATTACCAAGCCAAATATATATATATATTGAGATAGAGTAGTTCTATCTAAGATCAAATAGGACAGTGGATAGGATACCTATCTAATTCCTATGTCATTGACTCTACGGCAGCCGTAATACCTATAGCGGCCATGAGAAATCTACGGTCGTCTAAAAGTCATGAGTCTGTCTTGGTATATTTATAAATCTACGGCCCCCAGGGATGCTGGGCGTCATCACTATATCGGAAATGTTTCTTCAATATGTATTTTAATAACTTAAGTATGAAGAACTACAGTAATACTAATACTCTGGTGATCTTGTAGTTTTGTAATTGTGAAAAGGAGGGGGGGTTGTTATGGACGTTAGATCACTGATAGTCTGTGTGATATTGGCGGTTTGTGCTCTGTATGAGTGGCTGTACTCTTAGATATTCGTTTTCCGTTTTTGGAACTTGTGCTTTCACATAAATGCATCAATGTCATCCACTGTTTATAAAAACTGATTGAAACCTTGTCTATCTGGATGTCAAGATTGAACAAAGAGGCAATCTGGTTTCAAGGTTGTTGATGATTGTCTCTGTAAGAATATACAGCAAATGATTTATGCAAATCTGTAGGTTACGTCCCCCTGATATAGAAGAGATATTCCAGACAACAACTAAAACCGAGAAAAACATTTATTTAATTCCATTAAACATGGATCAAACCAAATAGATAATCTGTTTTCAATGTATCTTCTGTCAGCTGCAGTTTATCGTAAACGATAATAATACAATGTTTGGGTCCAAAATACGAATCATCAATCTCGCTAATGGTAAAGTAACTATTTCTCTAACATATTGATGGATTGGTATTGTAAAACACCAGGTTTCGCAGTGAATTTCACTTTAAGGTTCCATTAAGTTTACTTGCCATTTTCAAAAGTTATTTAAGGGTTTACTCAGTAAGAAAAGATTTTTGATACAGAGGGTATGAATAATTCACGAAATGAGTAATAATTGAATAACCAAATGGGATGTCAACTGAGCATGTCTACTACATTTCAACATATGTATTATATCAAAAATATAAGTAAATTCCAAATCCCATAAGGCATGCCTTGCGAGGGTGACACATGATCACAACTGACACTAACCCGACAATATTATATATATTTTTTCTGTTTGAAAGTGTTATGCCATTTGACATCGTAATTGCCAACTGCACTTAAGTGCGGGACATTATCTATGATAAAGAAAACCTAAATGGCTGAAATATTATCTGTGATATCAAATCTTTGATATATGGCGGGAAGCGCTAATATTTCCGACTCATCATTTTAAGCATAGTGCAGGTATTCTATTAATATCTCAACTGATCAATTAATGAGGAAAGAAATACAGATTTATTAGGATTGAATCAGAAATCAATTTGGGTTATCATGTTTGATTGCCATGTGCATTTTTTATCCAAATGTTAAAACAAATTGTAACATTTGATTAGTCAATGGTGTATCCTTTTTAAGCAAACAGTCAAAGTTTTATTCCCTTAATTTTGGAATTGATCAAAGCCGCTCAAGGATTCTAATTATATCAGTTATAAATAAATGTAAACATTCTAGGGTGGAACCAACATTTAGAGATTTTAAGCTAAATGTATATACCTATTACAAATTGGACTTAAGTGTTTATTTATTTTTATTTTATCTACCAATAATGATGTGTATACATATAATTTATAATATAAACATAGAAATTAAAAGTGTTGGAAGAGGAGATAAATGGGATCCTTTTAACGGTATTACTTTTAATAACTGATTTTCATTGATAATTTAAGCATTATTGCCTTCACAACATTGTATTCATCTATTTCGATATCTTGACTAAAATAAATATACATTTAAAAAAGAACTTCATTCTATGTATATTCAATTGTTTTTTTGGATATGTATAATGTGAATTGTCCTCACTCAAGTTTCACGCGAGTTTCAGACAATGAACAGATATAATCCTCTATTAAATGAGATATTGACTTTCTAATGCTCTTCTCACCCTTTCTATGACAGATTCAATCTTGAAGCCGTTTAAATTGCGAAATTCAATCTTAGATTGTGAACTATATATTTCCTCCAACAAAAGATAATAAGGACAAAATAACACTTCAAGCTATCTACCAATCGGTTTACTCATTACCCTTCGATAACATTTGGCCAAAAATAATTAATATTTTAGATTAATGAGCTTTCAGTTAGACATTTGGTCTAACAAAGCTCGAAAAACGGATCAATTTATTTCTTGTTACCGACGTGCTTTTTTCCCAAACAGTTTGTTTTTAGGTGTTTTGCCCATTGTATGAAATATGATTCTCTAAAAAGGTTCAGTTCACAACTGTGTTAATGTTTGATGGAATAAAAATTGTTTGTTAGATATATTGCCTTTTTTCTTATGTTACCTCTCTTGTAACTTACAAAAGGAAACGGATGAGGGCATTCGGAAAAAGCAATACCTATAAAGTACAATTAAATGACCAAGACAAACCATTTAATAATCTTTCGATGTAAGCACCGTGTTGTTAAATCAAATGTAAGACCAGAATAATACTTATAAAGATACTATTAGTAGCGAGAGAACAAAAGGTATCAGGATCAGATTGACCGAAGCAATAGTCATTATTAGTGAGTTATAGGCAATGTGTTCCCCTGAGGTACATTTGGACTGTCTGAGAAGTATCAGGCCAGAAATAGTTGTTTGAATCAATCAACCAAATGAAAAACAATGTTAAAAGAAGATTTTTGGTCTGCACTTAAGAAAAGACAAAGAAGTTTTCATAAACTTGCAGCAATTTGATATCACGCTGCAACTTATTCGAGGAGGCCAAATGCAAACATAAGTCTAACAACTAAATATGTACTATCCTGACATTATTGTTAGCTTATGAAATAAGTGAGTTATATACAACTTAAAGCTAGTTGACTGAATACTTTTGGGCCAACCAAAGGACTGAAAGCATGACTTTTTCGCAAACAAGTCACAGATGTTGGCCACTAGATCGTTTTGAAGTAGGATCTCATAGGCTCAAAGAATAATTCAGGAATATTAATTGAGTTACTGATTCTACTACAAAAGAATCTTGCCGGGATCTTTGATAAAAGTAGCGGCCATTTTAAATATTTGAAACATCTTTTGACTAATCCTGTAGACATAATTGATATTTTGAATCAAGGTACACGTACAAATTTCAGCAAATTGATGAAACCAAATAGAGCTGAAATTGATTTTGTCAACCGACCGACCGAAATAGCTCACCTTTATGAGGTAAAGATATCATTAGGCCACATGATAATGCGTGCAATTACTAACTTGTCCTTCTGTCTGTCAATTCAAAATCTCGCCTATTTTCAAGATGCCCGCCACATTTATCTAGAAAAATCATGATTTAGCCCGTTTTGTCATAATTAAAAAGAATTGCTTGACTTTGCGTGGTTACCGTTCATAGTTTTTGCAAAATATATGTCCCACAGTTTCTAAATGTATGACCACCACTTTTTGGGTAAAATTTCTCGCAGAAATCCAATATGACCGACCTATAAACGCCTATTGTCATAGATATCATCATGTGAGCTAAGTTCGTAATTCTTGATCGATGTGTTGACAAACGATTTTTAAATCACACACGAATAACTATAATATGGAAAATGTCATTGTCTGTTATCATACAGACAATAATAATAATGTTGGGATACTTTATCAAATTGTTATGTCAATATTAGTGAAATAGCAGGTTGATACTATTCTACAACAGTGTAATATTTCCTTGTTATTGGTTATTTTAGACGAGTTGGACGAGTATAAATTGCAATTTAAGTGATCTTCTATGGCGGCAGCTATTTATATTTGATCATACTCATAAGTTTTGATAGAAAACGTATCAATCAAAATCATGGCATACCGTACCACTTAAATATTACTTGATGCATTGCCAATACTCCAATACGCGATAACGTTTAGTTTAGTTACCTCCCGTTTGAAGAGTATGGTACAACTTTGTCTACATCCGGGTTCTTTCCCATTGGATTACACAGGGGTGCTATTTTCAATGTCGCACTGCGACTCTATTAAACGTTTACGTATGTAGAGTTGCATTTGCACAAACGATAGGTATGTATGTAATTAAGATATTTAACGAATAGGAGTATCGCAATGCATCAAAATGTTAAAGAAACACACACTCTACCATTAACG